CGCAAGCTTATATGGACTACAACCGATACCTACTCACCCACACCCACCCACACCCACACTCTCAGCCAAAAGCACTTTCATCTCATGAAAAAGCCCTTGCAATTCGACAACAATCACTACCTTCCAATCATCCTGATTTGGGTGATTCCTATAACAATATCGGTAATTTGTATAGACACGTGGGGAATTATTCAAAAGCAGTTTCATCTCATGAAGAAGCTCTTGCAGTTCAACGAAAATCGCTTCTTTCTAATCATCCTGATTTGGGTGGTTCCTATAACAACATCGGTTTTGTGTATTATTATATGGGTGATTATCCAACAGCAATGTTATGCTATGAAAAAGCTGTTGCAATTCAACAACAATCACTTCCTTCCAATCATCCTCATTTTGCCAAGTCCTATAACAGAATCGGTATGATAAATGACAACATGGGTGATTATCCAAAATCACTTTCTTATCATAAGAAAGATTTTGCAATCCTACAACAGTCATTTCCTTCCAATCATCCTAGTTTGGGTGCGTCCTACAACAACATGGGTTTGATGTATGAGAATATGGACAACTATTCAAAAGCCCATTCATTTTATGAGCGTGCTGTACTAGTTGGACAACAATCATTACCAACAAATCATCCTAACCTTCAACAATGGAGAAAAAATCTCGAAAACATAGAAAAGAAATTATAATTTGTATTTGCATTTTTTTTGAAAGTAAAATAAAACTAATGAAAAGGAAAATGTGTCTTTATTAAAACTTAGTTCTTGTTGAGAACACAACACGAGTAGTAACACTCAGCGGTAAAGTAAACAATACATATTGAAAAAATATGTATATTATTAATCTAATTGGTAAAAATATTCTCTAACATAGATATATACAATCCTTCTAATAGTGAACAATCAACAAAAACTATTTAAGATACCTAATCCAATTCTTATCGATTTAATTGATGAATTAAAATAGCAATGTTCATTTTGTTTCAATTGTAAAGATGAAAAGTTTTGTCACTCGTTAGATCATTACATTTATATAAATCAATTCAAAGAAAAACAAAGAAATATTTGATTGATATTAACTATTCATAGATTTAAAGTTTGTTTTTGGAATATATAAAATCACGTATAGAAATGAAGATTTTAGTCCTCCCAATACATTTCTCGTTGACAGGTTTCTTTTATTCAAATAGTTTCTGTTTACAAATTTATTTTTACTCTGACAAGCTTCTCTTCAGAAATAAATCGAGGATATGATTCATGGATATCATTTGAAACTAGTAAACTAATAAACATCTGTTAGCGTCAACTGGTGACACTATGTTGTCGCTAACTTTTGTATAATTATTTTTCTTGTTCAGAGTAGAGATTTTCTCTTTTTGCTTCTTCTTCTTCTTCTATATATATAGATAGGAGAATTTTCCTAAAGTTAGTTTTAGCTTTATTTTCTTTTTCTAACCTCATATTTGTTCTTTCTTTTTCCATTTAATATATATATATATTATATATATATATATATATATATATATATATATATATATATATATAT